TGTGTGTGTGTGTGTCTCTCTCTCTGTCTCTCTGTGTGTGTCTCTCTCTCTGTCTCTGTGTGTGTGTCTCTCTCTCTCTCTGTGTGTGTCTCTCTCTGTGTGTGTGTGTGTGTGTCTCTCTCTCTCTCTCTCTCTCTCTCTCTCTCTCTCTCTCTCTCTCTCTCTCTCTCTCTCTCTCTCTCTCTCTCTCTCTCTCTCTCTCTCTCTCTCTCTCTCTCTCTCTCTCTCTCTCTCTCTCTCTCTCTCTCTCTCTCTCTCTCTCTCTCTCTCTCTCTCTCTCTCTCTCTCTCTCTCTCTCTCTCTCTCTCTCTCTCTCTCTCTCTCTCTCTCTCTCTCTCTCTCTCTCTCTCTCTCTCTCTCTCTCTCTCTCTCTCTCTCTCTCTCTCTCTCTCTCTCTCTCTCTCTCTCTCTCTCTCTCTCTCTCTCTCTCTCTCTCTCTCTCTCTCTCTCTCTCTCTCTCTCTCTCTCTCTGTGTGTGTGTGTGTGTGTGTGTGTGTGTGTGTGTATGTGTTCTCAGTGTCACAGAGTGTTCGGTCGGGTCATGGCGTCGGGTTCGGAGGCCGTTCACTACATCCACCTGCATAACTCCAGTCAGTCAGTGCTGGAGGCCCTGAGGTCTCAGCGGCGTAAAGGTCTGTTCTGTGACGTGACGGTGCGCATCCACGACGCGTCTCTGCGGGCTCACGCCTGCGTTCTGGCAGCCGGCAGCCCCTTCTTCCAGGACAAGCTGCTGCTGGGTCACTCGGAGATCTCGGTGCCGCCGCTGGTTCCCGCCGAGACGGTCAAGCAGCTGGTGGACTTCATGTACAGCGGCTCGCTGGTGGTGCTCCACTCGCAGGCGCTCTGCATCCTCACCGCCGCCTCCATCCTGCAGATCAAGACCGTGATCGACGAGTGCACGCAGATCATCTCGCAGAGACGCGCTGCCGTGGCAGGAGCCGGGCCTCTAGGGAGCGCGCTGCCCAAACAGGAGGAGGGGAAAGAGCGGGAGAACGCGGCGCTGCAGGGCTTCACTTACGGCATGAGCGGGGACTGCGGCTCAGACATGGCAGCTGCGCTGGGAGGCGGAGCTCAGGGGGAGGGAGGCGGAGTCAGCTCACTAATGGCCCTCAGCGAGGTCGGAGGTGGGGCCATGTGTAGAGGGGAGGGGCTGGGTGTGGCCGGGGGCGGGGCCATGCTGAAGCCCACCAGCTGCTCGCAGGAGATCAACTACATGCTGAACCCGGAGCGCGGTGTGAATGTGGGCGCGCAGAACATCGCCGCCAACGAGCGCGGTCACATGGGGTCTCCCAGCGGCATGGGCCTGGAGCTGGTGGAGCGATTCAACGACGATGACGAGAGAGACACGCATGACACAGACCGAGACAGACAGACGGCACACACGCGCAAACAGAGACAGCCGCTGAGACTGCAGGTGACGAAACACACGGCTGATAGCTCATCTGAGTGTGTTCTGTGATCCACACACACAGAAGCTGTATCTGGTGAGTGTTGCTGACTGTGTGCAGGTGCTGGCTGGAGAGCAGGTGGTGGTGAAGGATGAGGATGGTCTGTTCGAGATGGACGAGAGAGCAAACGCAGCGCATCAGCCCGCCTACGCACAGGTACATCTCAGAAAAGCCTTCTTTCACAGGAATATGGAGGATGCATGAGGTGAATCCGTTGCTACAAATAGCCCACAATTCTTTGCATCGGCGCGAATATTAGTTTGAAAATGAGTTTTTAAGCTGTATTACCTCAGTAGACAGATGAGTGAACAAGAGTTCAGTTCAGTTTAAAGGGATCATATGATGTTGCTAAAAAGAACATTATTTTGTGTATTTGGTGTAATGAAATGTTTATGCGGTTTAAGGTTAAAAAAACACATTATTTTCCACATACTGTACATTATTGTTTCTCCTCTATGCCCCGCCTTTCTGAAATGCGTCGATTTTGAAAATCTGAAAAGCTCATCGGTCTGAAAAGCGAGGTGTGCTGTGATTGGCCAGCTATCCAGTGCGTTGTGATTGGCCGAATACCTCAAGCGTGTGACGGAAATGTTACGCCCCTCACCATACTGTGTTGATGCCCTGTCCGGCCGGAGCGACGAGACGAAAACATTAAAACCCATTATAAACCAGGCATTTGTTGCATCCAGTGGGGACATAATTACGGATTATAATCAAGTCACGTCACCTTTATTTATATAGCGCTTTTAACAATACAGATTGTGTCAAAGCAACTGAACAGCATTAATTAGGAAAATAGTGTGTCAATAATGCAGAAGGACAATAGTGAACACTAATTTTTCAGTTAAAGGCAGTTCATCATTGAATTCAGTGATGTCATCGTCCAGCTCAGTTCAGTTTAAATAGTATCTCTGCAATCAAGTCGATGATATCGCCGGAAATGAAGTGTCCCCAACTAAGCAAGCCAGAGGAACCGAAGCTCCATCGGTGACAGAATGGAGAAAAAACCTTGGGAGAAACCAGGCTCAGTCGGGGGGCCAGTTCTCCTCTGACCAGATGAACCAGCAGTTCAATTCCAGGCTGCAGCAAAGTCAGATTGTGCAGATGACTCATCTGGTTCCTGTGGTCTTGTCCCGGTGGCCGTCTGAGATTAGGTCTTTACTGGGGATCTGTATCTGGGGCTCGTCTAGTTGTCCTGGTCTCCGCTGTCTTTCAGGGATGGGGAGGTCCTCTCTAGGTGCTGATCCACAATCTGGTCTGAATACATACTGGATCCGGGTGACTGCAGTGACCATCTGATCTGGATACAGACTGGATCTGGTGGCTACGGTGACCTCGGAATAAGAGAGAAACAGACTAATATTAGCGTACGAATTAAAGTACGATTTGAACCATGCTAATGCACTTCCATTAATGCCAACAAAGTTTTCTAGTCTATTCAAAAGAATGTTGTGGTCAATAGTGTCGAACGCAGCACTAAGATCCAGTAGCACTAATAGAGAGATACAACCACGATCAGATGATAAGAGCAGGTCATTTGTAACTCTAATGAGAGCAGTCTCAGTACTATGATACGGTCTAAATCCTGACTGGAAATACTCACAGATACCATTTTTCTCTAAGAAGGAATATCATTGTGAGGATCTTTTCTAGTATCTTGGACAGAAAAGGGAGATTCGAGATCGGTCTGTAATTAACTAGTTCTTTGGAGTCAAGTTGTGGTTTTTTGATGAGAGGCTTAATAACAGCCAGTTTGAAGGTTTTGGGGACATATCCTAATGACAATGATGAATTAATAATAGTCAGAAGAGGATCTATGACTTCTGGAAGCACTTCTTTTAGGAGCTTAGATGGAATAGGGTCTAACATACATGTTG